CTTTTTTATCTGCTTGTACACTTAACGGAGAAAAAAGTACTTGTAACTTTATAATAGGCTAATTAAGGTCTTCCGTTTCCAACGGAAGACCTTCTACTGATTCTGAAGATTAAGATTATTCTTATTATTCTTTTTTTTGTTTTCTTCCTAGACGCCAACTTTGAGGCCTCATATCTCACTCATTTCTCAATGGATTTTGCTCAAATTTTCAGACATTATAGACGGTAATAAACTCTTTCAGAATGCTGTCTAGAATTTCAAAAATTCACTTCCGGTTTTGAGTTATTTCCCTTTAAACAAAAAATTATAGGCTTTCATTTCCAGACAAAGGCTCAGAGACCACTGGAGCTGGAGCAGAAATTTTACTGGTTTTAGATAACAGAAGGATTGAAGTTGTGCACATCGGTTTTTGTTTTTCGATTTCTGTATTCAAAATGGCGCTATATAGGGGTCAAAAAATAGAACGCCTAAAAGAGCGAAAATTTACACATGTTTTCCTTTTTATCTTGAAAACTAAAAATATTTTGTTAAGACATGTTGAACAAAAGTTGTGCATAATTGCAAGGGCTTTCATATAATACTATTCAAAAGGGGCTGGCCCCTATGAATAGGGATTTAGGGAGCTTGAAAGTTTTTGCTTTATAACTCAAAAACGGTAAATATTTCGATCTGGATTATACGAACAAAATTGTTCTTTGACACCTTTTTGATTTGATGAGAATGTTTATTTGTTCGAATATACCGGGGATATTGCGTAACACGAAGTAGAAAGCAGGCCAGGTAAACAGGTAGTGTTTTTCAATCGGGAAGAAAATCAGACCTCTTCATGTGTATAATTTACACAAACTTCCTATCAATAATATACCCTATGGTATTTAATGTTAAATTTCTACTAAAAAGGTCTTTATACATGCTTTACGGTTCATTATTAAATTATCTATATAACAATTAGTTTTTCTTTTTATGTATTATTAATTAGTTTTATAGTGAACACGTCTTCATCGGAATATATTAATTCTACATTAAATATTATTATAAGTAATTTTAAGCTTTATTAATCGAATAATTCACGATCATTTAGTTGATCTCCACGTTCGCCAGCCTAGATGTTTGTAACAGTTGTGTAATCAAACGCCCCAATCCCACGCTGCCGATCGGGGTCACTAGTGTACCAGCCACCTGTTGTCGTAAACAAAGCAAGTGTCTGTGATCGTGTTTAAAATCCATTGTGTACAAAGACCTATCAATTAATAGAAAATTGTGTTTTTAATCAATCGAATCAATAAGAATACGATCTTACATTAAATCGCAATTCCTAACACTGGTGCATAAAATCATTTTGAATTTTGATAACTTTCTTTGGCCTGTTCACGCAAACATATTTCTCTATTCCGTGTTAATGTATTTTATCAAAATTGTAATTGAAAAGGGGCTTCGGCAAATAATTATAATTACTGATGGAAGTCTTGAGATAGGTAATGTACTATATGTACGTTTTATTTTTACCATCACTCTTTTGTTTCTCCATTATTTTTTTTAACGTGCGTGGCCACAGAGAGCCGCAGGCATGTCGAATGTTAAAAACATCGTGTACTCCAACAGTGGAAATTGGCTTTGAAATCATGTCGCCTTTTTCATATTACTGAATGACGGGTATTTTTTTTTAGGTTTATAAATCCGTAAAATTTAAACGCGTAAAATTTCACATAATTTATAAAACGGCTCGTATAATTTTTTAACATGGTATGTGTATAAGTAATGCTTATTGCTACTAAGCTCACTCCATGGAGGCTATATAATTAGTATACTGTTAGTAATTTGAACACTTTTAAGCCAATCATCAATTGGGATCATACAGGTAAATCTCAATTAACTTGTATATATAAATTATACAAACATTGTCAATTAATTTATAAGTTAGACCTACCTGCATGGTTACTCTTTTTTTAGTATTTTTTAGAGACGCATAACTTCTGATAATGACTTAATAATTACAGCTCTTCCAATTAAATGTATACCTGTGTTTTGAATCTTGGACACTTTCTTCTGCTTCATATGCTTTGAATAAAACTTTGACCTCTTAATGCGCTGTACTTAAATACTTTCACTTCAATTATGTTAGTTTGAGTTGTCTCTCTTTGTTTTCGGTAAATATACCAGACATGCACGTGTGCCTAGCTATGTTTATAAAAAAAATGAATAAATGAAGGGTATATAAAGGTTATTTTTAAAAAATTATACCATGCGCGGATCTAGAGGGGGGGTCGGGGGGGGGGTCAGGACCCCCCCCCCCCCCTGGAATTTACCAGGATAAAAATGTACATACTAAAACAAGGAAAAAGTTACCATGGACCCCCCTTGGAAAACGCAGACCCCCCTGGACTATATGTGTAAAAATGGGTATGAAAAGTTAAAGATTTGAGGCAAAAGAAGAAAAGAAGTCACCACTAACCCCCCCCCCCCCCTTTACGAAATAGGTTTTTGACGTTAAGGGGAGTGCTACTTTACTTTTTTTTTTTTTTTGCTTGTCAAGAAATTTCCGGGATAGGATTTTTTTTTGCCTGAGGTGGACCCCCCCTGGAAAAAATTTCTGGATCTGCGCCTGTATACAATTCATAATGTAATTTGTTTGCATTGTTTATATTGTTATATCAAATTAACATGTGTTTAATAACTCTCTCACTCTCTCTTTCTTTCTCTCTCTTACAAGTTACATAGGGTTTTTGGACACGTTATTTGTACACGTAAATGCATTCAATGTGATCTGGAATTTTACGTCTGATGTTTTGAATTTTTACGGACATATTCAATTCGTAAAAGATCAACGTATAAAAATTTAAATCACCTTTTTTGACCCAAATTCGTAAAAATATACAACAGTAAAAATTACCCGTTATATGGTATTTTATTTCACTCTATCTCATATTTGTTTTAATCAATCGTATTTGCTTGTGCATTTATTAATTTCAAGTTTTATGCCTGATGAAATCAGGTGCTTTGATCCTTTTCATGCCAGCACCTACCCCGATACAAGACCTTGATTTATCCGGTCTCATCCATAGGATCGGTCTCCATGCATCATTTCACAAGTCTCCAAATTTCAAATAAAACATTCTCATTGAAACTTTGATGCTTCCACATGAAAATGGCCGGGTATATATTGTTTGTCATGTACGTCTTCCATTTTCCGTCTGTCCCGCTTCCCCGCTTTGCGTTTACCTCAGTTCAAAGCTCAATTTCAAAGAAACTATTCAATTCTTTTTTATATTAAACGTCCTATGCTGATAAACATTGATGAGAGCTATTTTCCTGCATCAACATATTTTCACTTTGACCTTTCCTTTGAACTTAATCTCACCTTTTATGAATTCTGTCTAAAGAGACCATTCAAGATAGTATCATCAAACTTCATGTGCCGATATGTACTGATATGTGCTGATACATACTATAGGCTAGCTACACGTTTGTAACTGCATCAACATTTTGTTTTACCTTTCCTTTGACCTTAACCTAACTTTTCTCAGGTTAGTGTTTAACTCAGAAACATACCATTCAAGACTATAAGTATTCTTTTACTTCTTATGGTGATACATGCATTTTTTTTTTACTTTGACCTCTCCTTTCACCTTGATCTTACCTTACCTAATTCATTGAGTATTAAGCTCAGTTTTGAAGAAAGCATTTATATTTTTACTCAACTTCATATGCTGATACACTGTACACACTTATGAGAGCTATCCAAACCTTAGTGTATGACAGATGCTCTAACCACTGTGCCAAACGGGCGACCTTCAGTTTTGAAGAATCCATTCAAGACATTTTTATCGAACTTTAGTATCCTGATACAGTTTGATCTTGCACTTTCCTGTGACCTTGACCTCACTTGTCTTTAATTTGCAATTTGCATAGTATTAAAGAAACCATTTGAGATATTTTATTGTAAGCTTATGCCTATATATGCATTATCTGAATTTCCATTTTTAAGATTTCAATTTTTAAGAAACTATTCAAGATATTCTCAACAAACGTCATACACTCATATTTCTAAATAAATCATCATGTAAATCATAGTTTTGAACCTAATAAATTCTTTCAATTCGATATATGTTCAAAAAAAAATTGACTGAACATATCCAGTCTTTTGGACGAGTCACTGTTACTGACAGAGAAACTTTAAATTCTCAACCGTATTTGTACCAGTGAAACATTGCTCATATAATGCAGGGTGGGGCATGACCTTGTCTCAAGTTCTAGGTCACTTAAGATAAGATGTTTTGGTTGGATATGAACTAAAAGAATATCTAAAAAAAATCATATGTGAACTTTTCCACTCGGTAACACGCAGAGTATGTATTTTTATAACAGAGTTTGTCTTTGCTTGTTGCAAGGTCATTTAGAAAGTTCAAGGTCATGCACATAACATTCTTTTACAGTCTTTTTCCTGGCGAAACATTGTAAGTTGCTTCCTCAACAAGCCTTTGGGTTGCTTACTTAAATAATTTTAGAATGGTTTGACCTAGACTCAAGGTTACGTCTTCATTTCCGTAGCTCCAACGGAAGACCTATTCGTTGCTTTGCAACGAGCTCGGCTCTAGTTTAATTGGTTTTAAATGTTTTCATAACTCTAGCGAGTTCTAGATGAAAAAAAGTTTGACTTTACTGTATCACTGTTTCAAAATCAAAGTACACTCAGAGTAATACATTTTAAAATTTTGCTAAATGTCTTTCACATGTATGCATAAATAAGAACACTAAGAAATGTGCTAAATCAAATCTAAGCTAACTTGTTCAAAAATATTTTATGCCGAAGATCGTACATGCTAAATATAAAACATTTACAGTACATGTTATTTGCCCAGAGCTTTAATTTTTCCCAGCTTTATACAGAATATGCTAAAAAATTAGTTTCTGTTACATCTTGTAAAATATACATTGTCCATAAACATTTGTAATTAATATTATATACGGACTTAAAAAAAATCCTTCTTATTTGATTTCAGAATTGGTGGTACAGATCGGGTGACTTGGTGAGTATCATAAGTTAATTTTTATGCCCCCCCCTGTAAACGAAGTTTCGGGAGTGTATAGTTTTCTACTTCTACCGGTGAGTGGCCTCCGTCAATTAGCTGACTATTATGCCACCAGGGTCAACATTTAAAACCATCATGTCCGTCCGTCTGTCTCTCTGTCTGTTTGTCTGCAAAAACTTTAACCTTGCCCATAACTTTTGATTTAGTGGAGCTATGAGTTTCATATTTCACATGTGTATTCCTTGTGGCAAGACCTTTCTTTGGGTACCTCCAAATTTGACCTTTTGACCTTGGAGTTTGACCCACTTTTACACAAAAATTCCAAACTTTTACTTTGGCCTTATCTTTTGAACAATAAATACCAGGACATTTATACTTCAGTAACTTCACATATGTATTCTTTGTTGAAAGACCTTTCATTGAATACCAACAACCTTGAACTCTTGACCTTGACCTTGGAGATTTCTGTACTTGTGAAAAAACTTTAACATTGGCCACAACTTATGAACGGTAAAGGATTGGGCTTTCATACTTCAATCCTTGTGTAAAGACCCTTCATTGTATACCAAAAACTTTGACCCTTTGAACTTGACCTTGGAGTTTGACCTATGTTTAAAAGCAAATCTTGACCATAACTTTTAAAGGATTAGGGCTAATGCTTTCATACTTTAATATTTAATCATTGTGTTAAGACCTTTCATTTGACAGCAAGAACCTTGACCCTTTGACCTTGACATTGGAATTTGACTTACTTTAAAAAATTTTTAACCTTGGCCATAAAAATTGGTGATAGGACTTCCATACTTTACATATGTATTCTATGTGGCAAGGCCTTGCATTGGATGCCAATTACCTTGACCTTTTAACATTGACCTTGGAGATTTTGTACCTATGAAAAAACTTTAACCTTGGCCATAACTTTTGAACGCTAAGGGCTAGTGATCTCATAATTCAGTGATGTGATGTGAGAAGACCTTTCAATGGATACCAAGAACTTTGACCACGACCTTGGAGTTTGACTACTTTTAAAAAGCAAACCTTGACCATAACTTTTAAAAGGTTAGGGCTAGTGCTTTCATACTTGACATATTTAATTCTTGTGACAAGACTTTTCATTTGATAGCAAGATTTTTGACCTTGACGTTGGAGTTTGACCTAATTTTTTAACCTTGGCCATAACTTCTGAATGGTTAGGGTTAGGGATTCCATACTTTACTTATGTATTTTTGTGGCAAGACCTTTCATTGGATACCAATGACCTTGACCTTGAAAATTTCCATACTAATGAAAAAACTTTAACCTTGGCCTATTTTCATATTTCACAATTGTATTTCCAGTGAGAATACCCTACTTTTAATAATAATATATTAAATTTGCATTTAAGAAAAGTTTAATCGTTGCTATGTTGCCATTTGGGGGCATCAGTGTTTCACAAACACATCTTGTTTAACATAAAATTTTACATGCAATATAGGTCAGTTACCATTTCTTATTAGAATCTGAAATTCAACAACAGGCCATTTTGATAGACTTGCTGACACATACAAGTATGTTATTACTTATCTGAATTGTCAATAGCAATTCATTTGCCTTTTCAATGTTGGTATTGTCGGTGTGAATTGCCACATTTATTTATTCAATACAATGCTACTCAGTTTTCAGCTCATGTAAGCTGAAAAGGGAGAAACATTGTATATGTTTATTGTAAATACATTTATTTTAGTGCATACAAATAAATTCTACAAATGCAAAGACCAATTATACACTTCATATTTTAAATTGGATTATTAACATTCATTCCAAACATTATTTTTCTTAATCTCATTAAAATTAGATGTTAGGTCTGCTCACATACTTGCTACACTAACATTGGTGTAGCAAGTATGCCAGTGGATCTAATCTTATTTTAATTAGATTGAATTTTTCAGCGACTTAAATATCATTTAAACCCATAAAAATACCTGAACTACCAGTTATAGAGAAGCCGTCAATTGGCAATCTGTAGCTGTTGGGAAAGGTTTAAAAAAAAAATTCTTTCATGATTAAAAAAATTGATTTTTTGATTGTAGGGGCCTGAGAAGTACTGGTACATATTCCTTGTGGGAGGTGTGATACTGTTTCAGTGCGTCACTACGGACATCTTTGTGTACCATGTGCTCCCCCCTGGGCCTACCAGTTCCCCTCATACTCCGAGGCCCCCACCCAGGAATGTCACCATTAACTGGTTCAGCCTTCTAGAGGCCTCCACCAAACCCCACCTAGGGATGGACGATATCACCACTGTCCCACCCGGCTAGTAGTGGTCATACTACATAATGACATTCATAGTGACGTAATGTGGTGATTGTCTTTCAAAATGTGTATGCTTTGATATACATTTTAAAAATTAACATTAAAGTAATTTTCAATATTTTTCTGACCATTCTAATATGTGTACCGTAAACCTGGAAATTTTTGCGTCGATTTTATTTTGCGAATCTGGGTCAAAATGCTGTTGATTAATTTTTACGTTTCAAAATTTTGCGAATGACCACTGCTTACATTTTCTTATTGTTGAATTATTTTTAAGAAAAACATTTTTGCGAATGCAATGAACTCGCAAATTTGCTAAAAATTTATCTACAGCAAAAATTTCCAGATTTACGGTATACTGAGTGTAATAAAAATAGTTGTATGAGGTGGAGGTAATATCAGATCTTTATTCCCCAGATTCAAGCTAAGTTTGAGAATGTACATAACAGTACATCCTAGACCCACCTTATCAATCCTTGATTTACAATAGACAGATCACTGTATTTCTTAATAAAAATTATTTTTTAATTCAAACATAATCTTAACCTAGTTTCATATTTTCTTGTTTCAATAAAAAACATATTTTATGCACCCTGTATTTTACAGAGTGTTTGATTTGCCTGTCTGGTACACCTATGGAAAAATGTATGTTTATTCAACCTGATGTATGGCATAATTATGTTTTTTCATTTAGATGCTGGTTGTCTGTATCTTTTGTTGATGAAAGGTTGAAAACGGCCTTATAAATCTCATATAGTGGAATAAAACCCTTAATAGTGACAGTACCATTTATAACAGTAAACATTTGTTTCATGAACTACAAAAGAAACAATCCAACTGTGTAGAGGGGAAGATCTTGTAAACTGTTGTCTTCGTATATATGTATGTTTGAAAGTTGTACTGCAAATAGGATACCAAAATGGACTAGCTAATTAAAGAAAAGGTTCAGGTTAAAACCACTGAAAATATAGGATATTGAATTGTATTTTTTATTTTTTGTATTTATGGTTGAGTAGCAAATTAAAATGATTTCCATATCATGTTTGTAATTGTAATATGTTCTTATAGCTGCAATAATGTAGCCCTCTCTGATAATTTTTGTATCTAATGTTTTCAAGAAAGGGCTCTTCACCCCCCCCCCCCTCCCCCACAAAAAACATTGGAGGGGCCTACATTATTGAAGCTAGTTTTGTACTGCTGTTCTGTTGGAATAATTAAAATCCATTTCATACATACGTAGGATGTTTCAGTATTGTAGCTCTGTGAACCCATGTTTTTGTTTATCACCTTTATGAAACACCTTTATACAGTATTTACATCATCAAGTGGGTGGCATGATACCAGTCTTAGTCTAACTGAAGTTTCTTTTTTCATAATCTAAATACTGGAACATGCAGTGTTATACTAAGGTTTTATAAAGGTTACTTACTTAGTAAAAGTTTTTTTTTTCTATTTCAATCAGACTGAATTCTTACAAAACACACATGCATGTACAGAGCATTAATGACACATGTAAACATACCACAGCAGGATTTACAACATCTGCAGATAAAACTTCATTCAATAAATCCATTTGAAATAAGGTGCCAAGGACTGGAAATTATGTTTTGTTTTAAATGTGATTTATAATATATGTTAAATCTAAAATAATTTTGAAAGCCGCGGGGAATGAAATTTCCTTCCCTGTAAGCATCAAATAAATGTAAGCCTGTTCACTTAAATCATGTTTTACCATACATCGTATTTGATTCAGTATATTGTGATATATGGGACCATTTTCTGTAGTCATCAATTTTTAAAGATATTTTTATTAGAGAAAGGAGGAATTTGCAAAAATTACAATGGCAAAATCCTCAACACCCAATGTTCATGTCTTGTACATGAATTTTTTGCTGTGTATAATGGCAGAAATTGAAAATGCAGAAATTCATTTACAACCACTCAAGGGTCAAATTGCAAAAATAAAATTTCAGCAACAGAGAAATAAAATCCTGAACCTCATGGAACTCATATTCATTTTACCAGTAATAATTTCTTGCATGTACACTACATGTCATTTCAGTCTTTTTAAAATTGATAAATGTACATAAATTATGAATAAAGTTTTTTGTCTTCAGTACTTGTTTTTATATTTTACAACATAATAAACATCTATCCTTTGAAACATTTGTCATGTGAGACATTATTGATATAATTTTCCATTCTTCTTTTCTCCACATTGATCTTACACAGTACTCTATCCCCCAATTCTCTCTAACAGTGGTGCCTATTTCAGCACATTCAGTCTCAGCTGTTTTCCATTCTTGGTGTTACATACAGTCTTCACTGGCCCTCCGCCATCTGAGTTTCTGTGGTCTTCATCATCCAATCAGGCGCCGACTGAGACACCTTCTCAATTATCTGATTCACTTGGAAACACAGACTCTGAATTTGTTTATCCCATGTGGGTAAAGCTTCTCTTGCTGAAAGAATAAACCAGAGTACAAAAATCAGACCACCCAAGATAAAAAATTACTAGTACAAACTAATAAAAATATGATTTGCTATTTTTTTGTTTTCTCTACATTTAAATATATAGATATTTTCTCTACCTATAATTCTGGGCCTTTTTTCTGTTAATTATAAAACAAGAGGCCCATGGGCCACATCGCTCACCTGAGAAGCTTTGGCCATTCCGTTCTTTACCAGATTTCCCCCTTGTAATACATATTGTGACCCCACCCTACCCCAATGATCATAATTTAAACAATTTGAATTCTACACTATCCCAGTATGCTTCCACATAAGTTTCAGTTTTTCTGGCCCAGTGGTTCTTGAGAAGAAGATTTTCAAAGATTTTTTCTATATGTTTCTATGTAAAACATTGATTCCTTATTGTGGCCCCGCCCAACCCCCGGGGGTCATGATTTGTAGAATTAAGAATCTACAATATCCCAGGATGCTTCCACATAAGTTTCAGCTTTTCTGACCCAGTAGTTCTTGAGAAGGAGATTTTCAAAGACTTATTCTGTATATTTCTATGTAAAACTTGGATTCCCTATTGTGGCCCCGCCCAACCCCTGGGGGTCATGATTTGAACAATTTAGAATCTACACTAAAACAGCATGCTTCCACATAAGTTTCAGCATTTCTGGCTCAGTGGTTCTTGAGAAAAAGATTTTCAAAGATTTTTCCTATATATTTCTATGTAAAACATTGATTTCCCATTGTGGCCCCGCCCTACCCCCGGGGGTCATGATTTGTACAATTTAGAATCTACACTACCCCAGGATGCTTCCACATAAGTTTCAGCTTTACTGGCCCAGTGGTTCTTGAGAAGAAGATTTTTAAAGATTTTTCCTATATATTTCTATGTGAAACTTTGATTCCCGAATGTGGCCCCCCCCCAACCCCCGGGGGTCATGATTTGCACATTTTAAAATCTACACTATCCTAGGATGCTTCCACATAAGTTTCAGCTTTTCTGGCCCAGTGGTTCTGGAGAAGAAGATTTTCAAAGATTTTTCCTTTATATTTCTATGTAAAACTTTGATTCCCCATTGTGGCCCCATCCTACCCCCGGGGGTCATGATATGAACAATTTAGAATCTACACTACCCCAGGATGCTTCCACATAAGTTTCAGCTTTTCTGGCCCAGTGGTTCTTGAGAAGAAGATTTTCAAAGATTTTTCCTTTATATTTCTATGTAAAACTTTGATTCCCCATTGTGGCCCCACCCTACCCCCGGGGGTCATGATATGTACAATTTAGAATCTACACTACCCCAGGATGCTTCAAAATAAGTTTCAGCTTTTCTGGCCCAGTGGTTCTTGAGAAGAAGATTTTCAAAGATTTTTCCTTTATATTTCTTTGTAAAACTTTGATTCCCAATTGTGGCCCCACCCAAGCCCCGGGGGTTATGATTTGAACAATTTAGAATCTACACTACCCTAGGATGCTTCCACATAAGTTTCAGCTTTTCTGACCCAGTGGTTCTTGAAAAGAAGATTTTCAAAGATTTTTCCTTTATATTTCTATGTAAAACTTTGATTCCCCATTGTGGCCCCACCCTACCCCCGGGGGTCATGATATGAACAATTTAGAATCTACACTACCCCAGGATGCTTCAAAATAAGTTTCAGCTTTTCTGGCCCAGTGGTTCTTGAGAAGAAGATTTTCAAAGATTTTTCCTTTATATTTCTTTGTAAAACTTTGATTCCCAATTGTGGCCCCACCCAAGCCCCGGGGGTTATGATTTGAAAAATTTAGAATCTACACTACCCCAGGATGCTTCCACGTAAGTTTCAGCTTTTCTGACCCAGTGGTTCTTGAAAAGAAGATTTTCAAAGATTTTTCCTTTATATTTCTATGTAAAACTTTGATTCCCCATTGTGGCCCCGCCCAACCCCCGGGGGTCATGATTTATATAATTTAGAATCTACACTACCCCAGGATGCTTCAACATAAGTTTCAGCTTTTCTGGCCCAGTGGTTCTTGAGAAGAAGATTTTCAAAGATTTTTCCTATATATTTCTATGTAAAACTTTGATTCCCCATTGTGGCCCCGCCCTACCCCTGGGGGTCATGATTTGAACAATTTAGAATCTACACTACCCCAGGATGCTTCCACATAAGTTTCAGCTTTACTGGCCCAGTGGTTCTTGAGAAGAAGATTTTTTAATGACCCAACCCTATTTTTGTCTTTTCTTCATTATCTCCCCTTGCGAGGGGATATGTCCCTTAATTTTAACAATTTAAAATCCCCTTTACCCAAGGATGCTTTGTACCAAGTTTGGTCAAAATTGGCCCAGTGGTTCTTGAGAAGAAGTCGAAAATGTGAAAAGTTTACAGACGGACGGACGGACAGACAGACAGACAGACGGACAGCTAGACAGACGGACGGACGACGGACAAAATGTGATCAGAAAAGCTCACTTGAGCCTTCGGCTCAGGTGAGCTAAAAACAGCATAATTGACATTAGTAAATGACTGACCAGATCCCTTTTCTTGTCTTTTTATTAAACATGCAGCAGAAACTTATCTCCAATTAGTTTGTACTTCAAAAATTCATCAGGTCAAACTGACCTCAATGCTTTTGATAGCACAAAAAAAAGAATTATCAATTCCAAAATGGTGGTGATTTAAGTATCTCATCTTGATTTAATGTTATTTAAAGATATGTATAAAATTCAAACATCAAAATAATATCTATTTCAATGTTGAACTGTTTATAAGTTAACGACGTTCGATCCTGATATTTAAAGTCTTAAACTTTTTTGCCAAGTATATTTTAAATTTCTACATACATAGCTTAATTAAAATTCAAATCAAAAAATGGGGGTCAATATGCTTCTTTTGGCGCTACAGTACATTTAATATGACCTTTTTGCTCTGAAATTTGTGTCTTAATCAAAAATTAAATTTTTGACAATTTCCCTCCAATATTTTTATCCAATTAAAGCATGGAACAAAATGAACTCTTAGTTTGTTTAAAAAAAGACACTTTAAAATTGTGACTAAGAAAAAATTTCTAATTGCTTCGCATAATCAATTATTTGACCTTTCTGCACTAATAAAATGTGATTTTTCTGGTATTGAAAATTAAATAAGCAAGAAAATTATTTTAAAGTCTTAAACTTTTTCTGATTTTAAGCAAATAGGTCAAAGGTATCTTGAATATTTAGAAAAGAACACCAAAAGTGGGGGTATATGATGTAAATTTTCAGATATTACTAAAAAAGTGTCAATTTTACGTTAAAATTGACTAAATTTTTTCCCGGGTTTTCAGAATATATTTACTCTATTTGTCACAATTTGTTGAAAGAATTCATAAGGAATAATTTAATAGATATTTCAGAACCAGCATAACACATTTCACTGCAAAAAACAGCTTTGTGTGCAATCAGCATGGAACAATAGGAATCCAAAATTAAAAGTACTGTTATAGTTCAAAAGGGGAAAAACTGATCATTTTCGTCTAAAAAACCTTCCGCCACAAAATATAGTCCCTAGCTTAATTCTACTTAAATGAAATTTAAGCGCGGTTTTTTTGATTGAATATAGTGCAATTTGCATTGTAGAATTCAGATTTAATGTTAGAACTTAAAAATGATGCAGAATTTTATAAATAATGGGCATGACCAAAATCCACTCAAAAACTCAGGATCCAACGTCCTTAACTCGATATGGTAAAACATGCTTATAATGAACTGCAGGGGACTTTCTTTGTTATAAATGTAATTTGTTATATTCATTAGTTTTACAGCCTACAGGGAATGAAAATCACCTTGCTGTGTGTCAATTCATTATACGGGTATTCACTATAACCATTTCTCATCAGAACTATAACTCTCAGTCAATAAGGAGGATCCTCAGGTTCATCCACTTTTGATTTTTTATTTGATTTAAAAGTTTGGAATAATTGCATGTTTGATTTTTTACTTGATTTAAAAGTTTGGAATAACTATGCATTTCTGTAAACCTGTATTTTTGTTCAATTTAAATTGGCATATCTTGCTTCTTACAATTATTTCATTTTATACATGAATAATAAAAATTAATTTGTTTGTAATTATCACATGATTTTTTTTAAGAACATGATTAGTAATTGTGGGATCATTTCCAGCATGATATAAAGCTTAGCAAAAGATTAACCTATCTAACAATTTTTTTTGCAAAATTCCAATGCTGTGAACAGAACCTTCATTAAGTCATCAGGTGAAGAAAGCCAAGTAATACAACTTTATTTTTATCATCATTTTTCACAAGAGCTGTAAAAACATGACAAAGGATTTATGAGCACCAGAACTATCTTTCTTCCTGCTGGATGGATCAAATCATTAAATCTTTTTGTCATGGAAAATAGAAAAATTAGTCAAAATAATGACACTTAAGAAGGTTGCATTCTGTTATCAAAAGTATTGAGAATTTTTTGTACATTGTACGTTTTGCACTATGGAGCAATTAAAATGACCTTTTTGCACTATAATTATGTCTTACGCATACATAAATTAATTTTCAAAGTTTTCCCTTTTAATATTTTTTTTCAAATTTTGCAAATTAATTATTGGAACAAACATAGTCTTTTTTCATCTGAATAATAACACTAAAAAAATAGCTTCAAACTATTCAGTTCTCAAACTCTGCATTTAGTAATTAAATTATTTGACCTTTCTGCACTGGGAATTTTTTTCTGGTGTTAAAAATATAACAAGGGGTCCATGGGCCACATTGCTCACTGGAATATTGATCTTTTTCTTCTAAAAAACCTTCCGCCACAAAATGTAGTTCCTCACTAAATGTTTTAGGTTTGGAATTTAATTTTTATAACTAAAACATTATATATGTAGACAAAAATCTGCTTGAAAGCTGAGGAGTGAACCTCTTTAATGAACTACAGTGTATTAATTTACCTTCAAAATGCACAATAGAATCAATTTGATCTATACAGCCATGCATGCGTCCTTCTGTGATCATTTGAGAAGCTATCTTCTCTGCCTGCAAAGTGCAAAAAGGAAATAATTAGTATAATTTTTCAGACATACTGTAATTAAATAAGAAATTGAGTTCTATTATCATGTATCTTTGCCAAATTTTAGAAAATAACTATTATAAATGCAGTACTAGATGTATAAATATACCTTTGAAGGTGGAATTTCTAGAAGGGATCCGAGTTCTGCGAAGGAAATGTTGTTGTAGAGCTTACTCGCTGACAGAAGGTTGTGTTCTATCGCTGCCCTGTCCAGTATGCTGGAACCTGTCAATGAATTACTGTGTGTAGGGTTGCTAATCCATATACAACCATTCTTTTTTCAAAATGACTACATTTCATATTCATCTTAGTTAAAGAATAAAATGCTTTCTTTATTTGTTAGTATGTGAATTATTGTTGCAGCTATAGCAGAAAAATACATAAGGCCATATAAAATTAATCTTTAGATTCTCATCCCCGCCCGCCCCTCTCAAAATGTCCCGCCCCGATGTTTTTTATTTTGATTTTTGGGTATTTTCATGTATTTTTATTCAGTAAGAATTTGGGTCAAAGTTTACGAGTTATCTCCCGTCTGTATTAAAAGTCGCGTGTCGCTATTTATAGCAAAAACGCCATGTGAAGAATGGAGAAAAATCGGCAATAAAAGCAGTTTAAATGTGTAAGGAAAAGATACTTTGTCAGTATAGAGAAGGCAGAGAAGACAAAATAGCATAAACACGTATAGATACCATCACTGGCAGGAGCAAGTATGTAGAGAGAATGTAACTAAGTAAAAATAGACGAGGAAAGTCAAGTTATATATAACGATCTCCAGCTGTGTGACTTAGCTTTGAAATAAAAAAAAATCTACAACATCGTAGACAGACTTTAAGAGAAGGCCTAGATTTTTCACCTCATTTTGTTCAGGGTGTGCCGTATAATGTGTACTTGATAATTTGTTAATTAACAATAAATATTTAACTTTTAAAGCAAAAATTTTCTTTAAATATTTAAAAGAATATGAAAAGAATTAAATCTATTCATATTTGCATTAAGGTAATGAAAAAAATGTGTACGGGGCGTCCATTGTTTTGTTGATACTTAGGCCTATATATAAATTAACAATTATAAAAAATAAAAAATAAAATCCGCCCACCCGCCCCAATTTTTTGGCAAATTAGGATGAGAATCTAAAGATTAATTTTACCTGGCCTAACCCTTACCCATACAAGCAGAGGTGCATTGTGTAAATTTTAATTGTTTCCTTTTTAAATTGTTTCCTTTTATTCCATATGCAGTTCTACTAATAAAAATTCTTAAACATTTTTAACCAATTTTCTGTTCTAATTTCATCTCACGACCAGAATGTATAGTATAATGGAAATAATTGAAAAAATAGATAATTTACATCAATCATAATTTTTCTCACATCTTTTTATCTTAGAACAAATTTAAAATTAATAGATTTTTAATCTTTAACACTAGTGTTTCTAAGAACACTTGTCCTTGTGCCTTAACTGTCACCTGAATATTAATTATAATACAAGTTTGTTGTTTTTTTTCTGGGCCAACTAAATATATTCCTTTTTTTCATCCACGGGCAACATTTGAGAGTCCTTTTACATATCTCTCTTTATCCGAATGGGCAAAGATTAAAAAATTTGAATTTATATCACATAAGGACATATTCATAATATGCATATTTAGGCAATTTTAAAATCTTTGGAGGATTTTTTTTCCCATTTATTGACAACACAAAGTGAAAAAATGGATTTCTTAACTTAATTGACAGTGTGCTGCAGAAGGAAAAGTCCTTAGAAATGTCACAATTATTATATAATTTAGAAAAGAGATTTTTATTTCAAAAAAGATGAATTTCCACAAAATATAAATATTTGCACCCATTTATGGGTTCAGATATGAGAAAGATGGCCAATGACTTTTTAAACTAAATATCTATCACTTTAAAACTGCACCTAAAAGATAATACATGTAAAACACATTTCACAGTCACTTCTAAAGCCTTGATGGTCAATGAATTTTTCAAACTGGAATATCTATCACTTTAAATACTATAAAAAGACCATTGTTAGAAATGTCAAACTCTAAAATGTGAAATAAATGTTATCTACTAAGATTTCTATTTTCATGATTAAATACTTAAAGCCGCTTAGTCCGATTCTGATCGCAAAAAAATATATTTGTTTTTCTTCTTGAAAAATAATTGTCCATAAATTGTTTCAACTTTTGTCAAATTATATCTCCATGCAAAGTCTTTTTCTTTTAAAACATATCAAAATTCATAAGTTTAAAAAAATAATTTTTGTTACGTCACACAAAAAATAATCCTATGTTGATATCACGTGAAACCACCTTCGAAAAATTTAATTTATCATATCTCATGAAGAACAAAATCGAGCATTTTTTTCAGAACAAAGTATACTTATACCTGTACACAAAACAATATTTTAGCCTTCATTACTAAACTTCCTTTAAAAAAATATCTGATTTTCCTTTATTCTTTAAATATGCATATTAATATAAAAATTACTATGGATTATATTCAATTAATTCCTTAATTTTTAAAAGATATATTATGACTTCTATGGCTTCTACTAATGGAAAAAAATACTCCGGTTTGAATTATCTTCATAATTAGATAAAACCGATAAATTCATTTTTTTCAAAGGTGACTTCACAACAGATCTTAACTTCCAGTCAGGAACCTCTGTTTGTCAATAAGGTTTTTGATATATGTGTTTTCCTTGTAAGGATTGTTGTAATAAACTATTAAATCAATCATATAATTCATTTTTCTATATTTTCTATGTAATGACGTACTTTTCTTGTGTAAGATAATATGTGCCTGTTTCGGATTAAGCGGCTTTAACTTTTTAAAAACATATTTTTATGAAAAGATAACAAAAATGTTATATTTTTCTTTGAATTATACAAGAATTTTTATCAATTGAAATCTTTTCAAAATTCCTGCTGATGCATACTGTTTTTTTGTCTATGAACATCTAATGGAACAATGATCTTAAATTAAGAATACTAGTATCTTGAAAATTTATCAGTAGGTAAGGTACATTGCATTTGTCCTTTAAAGGGACACCATTGATCATCATTATCGGCCGCAGCAGCGGCCGATCTATTTGTGGTTGTGTTAGAAAGTGCACATGGGGAAATGAGATGTTATTTTTTTATTAGTTCATTAAAATAATTTTTAAAGGATAACATGAACAAAATCATGAGTAAAATATTTTTAAAACTTGCTGTAAACTAAGTTTTAATCGCTGTTATCATGTTTCAATTACATTATCATTTCGCATCCGATAATTGATAATTCATGCTTAGATAAATAGAGTTTACAATAGATACTCCCCATCTTGGGAGTGTGTAAGATACGAAAGGCAATCGTCATGGTTTTTCCGGATAAAAACGACGTGATAAAAGTGCAAGATAAATAAAAATTGAAAAAAATTCAACAAGTAAAAATTGATTTGAATATGCTACACTTACGAATGACACAAGAATTATTTTTCTACATTTTGCACCGCGCCGTGCAGCATAACCTACTCTGCAGAAATCATATGCTTTATCACGTGACAAAGATCTATGGTATCAGCACGTGGTTCACCATGAGAGACCTACATCATCATTTTGATGACAATAATTTCTTATCATTAATCATTGACGTTATGGCATCGATGAATCCAACTGATAAGAAAATGCAGTAAAATTTTTATTATTTTTAAAAAATATATATTTTTATTATTTTTAAAAAATATATATTTTTTTAACTAGTATTTTGCTTTGAAGACAGCCTGAATTAAAAATGATCACTATTTCAGCTTTGAATATCTTGAAAAGTGCTTTCTTTGCATGGATGCTTTCATAAATTTGTGAAAGTACTTTTAGAAATGTTAGATTTTGTTAGCGGCCGATTTGATGCTTTGCATCACTTTTACTTGTAACTATACACTTAGTATGCTTACCAGAGGCAGAGTAGAGGAACAGAGAACAAGAGACCCATGGGCCACATCGCTCACCTGAGCACATGGGCTATTTAAAAAACACAAATCAGCTCAGTATTGAAAAGTTTACTTGTTGGGGGAGGGGGATTTGAAAGTTTTATTACTTGAGAATGTCAATATATTAATAAAGCATACATATATAATTTTGCCACTCTTGAGAGGAAGAGTTTGAAAGATTTTTCCTATATACAGTGTAAAGATCTGATTACCCATCATGGCCCTACCTTACCCCCCAGGGTCATGATATGAACAAACTTGAATTAACTCTAAACTGAGGATGTTTCCATATAAATATCACCATTCATAGCTTTGCTGATCTTGAGAAGAAGATTTTTAAAAGATTTTTCCTAGGTATTCCTATTTAAAACTTTGACCAACCATTGTGGCCCTGCCCTACCACAGGGGTCATAATTTGAACAAACTTGAATCTACACTACCTGAGGATGCTCCCACATGAGTTTCACCTTTCCTGGTCCAATGGTTCTGGAGAAGATTTAAAAAAAAAAAAATCCTATGTATTCCTATGTAAAACTTTACATTGTGGCCCCGCCCTACCCCTAGGGGTCATGATTTGAACAAACTTGAATCTGCACTACCTGAAGATGCTTCCACATGTGTTTCATCTTTCCTGGCACAGTGGTTCTGGAGAAGAAGAATGTTAAAAGATTTTTCTGTATATTCCTATGTAAAACTTTTGATCAGCCATTGTGGCCCCGCCCTACCCCCGGGGATCATGATTTGTATAAAATTGAATCTACACTACCTGAGGATGCTTCCACATGAGTTTCATCTTTCCTGGCACAGTGGTTCTGGAGAAGAAGATTTTTAAAGATTTTCCCTATATACCCCTATGTAAAACTCTTATCACCCATTGTGGCCCCGCCCTAACCCTGGGGGTCATGATTTGAACAAACTTGAATCTACACTACCTGAGGATGCTTCCACACGAGTTTCATCTTTCCTGGCGAAGTGGTTCTGGAGCAGAAGATTTTTAAAAGATGCAATTAATTTTTCATTAATTCATAATTATCTCCCCTTGCAAGAGGGCTTGGCCCTTCATTTGAACAAACTTGAATATCCTTCACCCAAAGATACTTTCTGGCAAGTTTGGTTGAAAAATGATCCAGTGATTCTTGAGAAGAAGATGAAAATGTGAAAAGTTAACGACGACGATGACGACAACAACAACAATGACAGACAACAGACAAATTTTGATCAGAAAAGCTCACTTGAGCCTTCAGCTCAGGTGAGCTAAAAAATGGGGTCACAAATTTCACAAAGTTGGAAGAGGCAACCTTGCTCATAATGAATGCTGGATATATACCAAGGCAGATTTTAAAACATTAATTCAATTTTAGTTTATAATCATGAGAGGCTCCCTCCCCCCCCAAACCCCGGTATCCAAGGGCCTAGCTTGAAATTCTGGTAGAAGCACACTTGCTCATCATAACTATGTACTTAGATAATCATGGCATAATATCCAGAAGCAGAGAAGATTTCATAAAATTAATGCATTTTCACTATTATAATCGATAGAGACCCCAAATATTATAGTTTGTTCTTTAAAGTAATTGACACTATTTCTGTGTAGTCTTTTGCTATCCTTTGTGGCTAAGGGAAAAAGAAGTTAAATTTTCATAATACAAGGAAGCTTAAACACAAATTTTGTAATCCTCATGACAGAGCTCGAGGAAATTCTGAATGTAGTAATGCACTTTGTGTGTGTGTTTGTGTGTGTCCTACTGCAAAATGGAAGCATTGTAATTTGCATCAGAATCGACGTCGAATGCCGTCTTGATATTAAGAAATGGTCTTTGTGAGGGAATGCTCTGCTTTGCAATGCCCTTGTTATTTCCATAATTCACTGATTCTTGAGAAGTTACTTATATTTTCATTATTCATCTTAGTATCTCTTTTTGCAAAAGGGACATTGCCCTGCAATTAGAGAAATCTGAAATTAAATGAACCAAATATGTTTACTAGTAGATCGGTTTAAAATTTCGAAGTTATAGATAAATGAGGCAAATTTTACACCATCAGCTAAAAATATGAGAATTTATGTTCCTTAGGTCCTTCATGTTCAGCTTGTAATAAATATCTTTTAATTTTCAATAACCAAACCCCCACTCGCTTGTAATACTCTAGAACAATACATTGACAAAACGAAATTAGAACTATCATCTATTCCAATCAGGAAAATACACAACAATACTTCTAAACTAGAAAGAGAAGCACTTAATTCTCTGAGAAACAATAACAATATTGTTATCAAAAAAGCGGACAAAAGCAACACAATTGTTATTATGGACAAAGACTTATATGTCTCAGAAGCATTGCGCCAATTGCAATCCAAACATTACATGCTAGTTGAAAAACCCAACTTACACAACTTGCATAAAATGATACAAAATAAAATCACTGAAATGCACTCAAAGGGAACAATAGATAAGGAAACATATCGCTTTCTATGCGAATAACAGACCCTCATTAAAATGCGGTCATCTATACTTGCTCCCTAAAATACACAAAATCAAAGATAATGTACGAGATGCCCTCATGAAAGGCCAATGCAGCATCAGACAGCTACCACCTGGCCGCCCAATTATTTCACAGTGCAATACGCCAACACGTAACATAGGCGCTTACTGTGATTATTTTCTCATTCCTATAGTACAAAAACAATCAACATATATTAAGGACACTACAGATTTTATCAACAGAATAGAAACCCTCAAACTTCCAGCAGACGTGCTGATGATTACATATGACGTAACAAGTATGTACACTAACATGGAATTTGACGAGCTCCTCTCTGCCGTCAATGAAGCATATCAAAGCGCTAACAAGCCACAAAGAGACATCCCTTATCCAGATGCTGAAGATCTTATCTTCCTATTAAAGTGTGTCTTAGAAAACAATTACTTTGAATTCAATGGAAAATACTACAAACAAATTATAGGCTGTAGTATGGGTGCGATACCATCCCCTGAAATCTCAGATACAAGAATGTATCAAATCACAAATCATATTATGTCAAAATTCAAATTCGCCAACCAAGTCCTCTATCATGGTAGATATAGAGATGACGGGTTTATAGCCTTCAACGGCACAAAAGAGGAAATTCTAGAATTCTTCGATATCGGCAATACCTGTCACGATCACTTAAAATTCACCTTTGAAATCTCAGATGAAAGTGTTAACTTTCTTGACACCACAGTATACAAAGGCCTGAGATTCCAAAAGAGTAATGTCCTCGATATACAATCATATGTAAAACCAACAAATAATTTTCAGTATTTACACAGAGAAAGCGCCTACAGTCCTTCAGTATTTTTAAAAAGGACTTATAAAACGTGAATGCATCAGACATGCAAGAAATATAAATGATTCATCTATCCTGACAACAGTTTTAACAAACTTTAAGACACACTTAATCAAGAGAGGTTATTCTGATAGGGAAATCAATCCCATTATCACTGAAATGGGCAAAACAAACAGAAAAAAGTACTTGCACGAAAAAATCATGAAAGAAAAACAGCGTCAACCAAATGTTATGATTACCAAATACAATTCATATATCAAGGGTTAAAAAAAACGCCTTCTCAAACACTGGAACATTTTGCAAATAAACACAATTTGCAAAGAGTTATTTATCGATGAACCAATAATCGCCTACAGTAAACAAAAAAACATAGGCGAAATGATAATTAAGTCACGCTTACAATAGCTTAAGACTAATACTCAGGTGGGCTCCTGATGATGGCGGGCCTTAAGAGCAAAAAATCATATTTCTCTTTAAAAACCGCCGAAACACTCTATGCCTCCATAATAACATTTTATTGAAAAAAATCATAAGTGGTCCAGAGTGTCGAGCCCTGCTAAATTTACGACAGGCTTGGTTGATTGATGTCTATTTTCAAAGCCACTTACTCTTCTTGTCCTCTAATCTATCAACACTTATTGATAATTAGACGGATTCGTTATTTCATCAAAATACTCATTGTTGATCTATAGCGCCTCGCTATATACAATATATTTACCACCTACTGCTCCTCTATTCGAATGGCTCGACAAATAAATAGACGGAGTAAACAATGCAAAAATGCTAAATGCACTCCTAATTATTTACGGGAGGTTAAAGCTCACTGCAAGGAAACTACGGCCACAGGGGGAAAGTTTGTTCTCAATCTATCAAGATACAACTTATCCCAACATGAACTCTCAGTTCTAAGCAAAGGCTTAAAATTTATTCCAACACCTAAAAGCGACAATGCTAAAAGACTGCTGCTCAAAGATTTTGAAGAATTTGCCAGGAAACTCAGATGCAAATTCCACTTTGAAATCGGAGACGACAATGCCATTCACCCCTTTAACACAAAATCTGGCTACAAACCGCCATATACATGCAGCGAACTCGAGGAATATATACTCAACAAAAAAAGTTAAGGGCCACTTACAATTTTGAAAGTTTTAAAATCTATAACTATTTTTTTGTTGCACTTTTTTGTTTTATCTGGGTTTCCATACATTTTTATGGATTGTTATTCAAACACACTCTTGATTTGTGCTCCATTCCTGTGATTTTTGCCAATTGAAAGTTTTGCATTATCCACATTTCTGTGATACTGGCTGTATTGTATACTCATTGACAACCTCAAAAAGGAACAAGATTCGATTATTTGTACAATATTTGTTGTTTTTTGCCATTTAACACGTTTTCATGCCTCAAAGAAGACATCTGACGGTAGAGGAAGCCGCAAGGGCCATTGGAATGCTTCAAGCTGGATGTTCACAGCGTCATGTTGGAGCGCAACTTGGTGTAAGTCATTCTGTTATAAGTCGTTTGTTGGAACGATACGAAGAGACTAATAGCGTCAAACAGAGACCTAAAAGTGGTCGTCCAAAAAGTACAACTGTTAGACAAGATAGACAAATATCCCTACTTGCGAAGAGAAATCGAATGTCTTCAGCTGTTGCTTTGAACAGAGAGCTATCTACAGCAACAGGTATAAGAATTTCAACACAAACCTTGAGAAACAGACTGCATGATGCTGGATTACATGCCAGAAGACCTGCTGTGCGCCCACCTTTGACCGTGGAACATCGCAACCGCCGCCTCCAGTTTGCTCAAGACCATATCAACTGGGACCATCATCATATCCAAGGAGTGTTATGGACTGATGAATCCAGATTTTGTCTGGATTTTAATGATGGTCGCAGACGAGTATGGAGGAAGAAAAACGAGAGGTTTAAGGACTGCTGCATCACTGAACATGACCGGTTTGGTTGTGGATCAGTCATGGTTTGGGCAGGTATCAGTTACGATGGCTCCACAGACCTGTATGTCATAAGAAATGGATCGCTAACAGGTGTCCGTTACAGGGATGAGATCCTTGCACCAATTGTTAGGCCTTACGCTGGTGCCATCGGTGAAACTTTCATATTGATGGATGACAATGCCAGGCCCCACCGTGCAAGAGTGGTCAATCAGTACTTAGAAGAAGAGACAATCGAAAGGATGGATTGGCCAGCAAAATCACCTGACCTGAATCCAATAGAGCATGCATGGGACATCCTCCAGAAGCAAATTTTAGAAAGGCAAAACCAACCAAGTACGCTCCGTGAACTTGAGTTTGCTCTTGTTGAGGAATGGTCAAGAATTCCACAGGATAACTTTCGAAATTTGATCAACAGTTTTCCAAATCGATGTAGGGAAGTAATTCGGGCTAGAGGCGGTCATACAAGATACTGAAAGACTTTCCAGGTTAATTAAAACCCTGAAAACACGACTTTTGTTTCCTCATGAAATCCTGTATTTATGAATATTCTTGTTGTTTTGACAGTTACATGTTGTTACATGTTGTTCATTTGTTTATTATAAGAGATTTACAATTGTTTACTTTTAAAATGTTATTTGTTTCCACCACCTTTACAATATATGTTGCAAAAAATAAAATTCTTAAGTTGGCCCTTAACTTATTTTGTTGAGTGTATATAGATAAAACAAAATTGGAACTTTCCTCTCTGGAAATTGTAAAAAAGAGATCAAACATCTCAAATGCTGAAAGAGAAGCTATTTTATCTCTTAAAAATAACAACGACATTGTTATTGAAAAAGCAGATAAAAGCAACACAATTGTCATCATGAACAAAGACCAGTATGTCTTAGAAGCACAAAGCCAACTGCAATCTAAACACTATATGCAAGTATCTGAAACCAACATGCTCAAACTGCATGAAAACATTCAAAATAAACTTGCCGAAATGCATTCAAATGGGTCACTGGACAAAGAAACTTACAAATTTCTTAATGACAAAAAACCTTCACTCAAATGTGGGCATTTATACCTTTTACCGAAAACCCACAAAATACCAGCAAACATTTACAATACTCTAATAAACGGTCAATGCAGCATTAGGAAATTACCACCTGGTAGACCAATTATCTCGCAGTGCGATATGCCAACGAGGAAAATAGGACAATACTGCAATTATTTTCTTGTACCCATTGTACAAAAACAATCAACTTACCGTATATTAAAGACACTATGGACTTCATCACCAAAATCGAAGGCCTCACATTGCCAACAAACGCATTATTAATTACTTATGATGTGACGAGCATGTACACAAACATGGAATTTAACGAACTTCTCTCATCGGTAAATGAGGTTTACACACAGGCCAATAAAACGCAATTAGACATTCCATATCCGGACCCTGAGGATCTACTTTTACTTTGAATTCGATGGAAAATACAACAAACAAATAATAGGAGCAAGTATGGGGGCAGTCCCCAGTCCAGAGATCTGTGACATCAGAATGTATCAAATCACAAAGCATATAATGGCACAATTTCGTCATGCCAGCAAAATTGTCTTCCACGGCAGATACCGTGATGACGGTTTCATAATTTTCAATGGAACGCAACCAGAGATAGAAGAATTCTTCAATATCGGCAATCACTGTCACAAGCATCTCAGATTTACATTTGAAATTTCTCCATCTGCTGTGAACTTCCTTGATACTACAGTTTATAAAGGACAGAAATTTCAAAATTTTAACAAACTTGATATCAAGTCGTTTATCAAACCAACAAATAACTTTCAGTATCTACACAGACAGAGCGCTCATAGCCCTGCTGTGTTTAAAGGATTCATTAAAGGAGAATGCATTAGACATGCAAGAAACACTACTGATCCTGAAATATTACATGCAACACTTAATGACTTCAAGACGCACTTATCAAAGCGAGGTTACTCTACTTAGGAAACGGTCAACACAAACCGATCAAAACTCATGATCAAAAAGACTAAAGAACAGTCATTACGTAACCCTACAGTGCTGGTTACTAAATTTAACCCTTGCGTTAAAGGACTGAAAAAACGAATTCTGAAATACTGGGACACCATTCTTAGAAATCCAGAATGCAAAACTTTATTTAATTCTCAACCAATCATAGCTTACAGCAAACACAAGAATATAGGTGACGCCCGGTCTCACCTAAAACAAACACCATGATTTATGTCCGTGGCCCCTGATGAGGCTTCTTAATAGCCAAAACACTCTACAACTACTTGCATAATTCAAATCAAATATTAATCTGCTCTATGCAAAAAATCATATCTACTAGAAGTGTGGTTTGGAGTGTCGGGTCCTAATAAATCTCTTACAAGTTTGGTTGATTGATGTCGCTAATCTTCACATTATTGCAAAATTAGGTCGGGGGGCATTTCTGGCGAAGTCGGACATTAAATCAGCCTTTAGGTTGCTACCAGTGAACAGCAATGATTTCGACTTGTTAGGTTTTCACTTCAATGATGGTTTTTATTACGACAAGATGCTACCTTTCTGTTGCAAAATAAGTTGTGCAATTTGGGACAGATTTGCTTGCTTTCTGCATTGGCTTATACAGGATCGCTCAAAAAATGCCTCAATCCTGCATTATCTAGATGACTTTCTTTTCTGTGGCAAAGAACTTTCCATTTGCAAAAATACGTTAGACACTTTTCTTTATCTGTGCAACGATCTGGGGGTCCCTATTGCAAAAGACAAAACAGTATATCCAACGCAGGTTCTTACATTCTTGGGCATTGAGTTTGATACGATGGAAATGATCATGAGGTTACCGTTGGTAAAAATCAATGAAATCAAACAAAAGATTCTCGACATTATAACACTTAAGAAGGTTACTCTTAAGCAACTTCAGTCTTTATTGGGTTTCTTAAATTTTGCATGTAGAGTTATAGCTCCTGGTAGGGCTTTCTGTCGACGTTTGATTGATGCAACAATTGGCCTAAACAAACCTCATCACAATACCCGTGTAACGTTAGAAATGAAAGCAGACCTCAAAGTCTGGCTTGACTTCCTCCAATCATTTAATGGCATTTTAGTCATTACAGAAGATATATGGGTGAATAATGAGACTCTACAACTCTACACTGATAGCACAGGGGGAGATAAGGGGGGCTTTGGTATATATTTTGCAGGCAAGTGGACATATGCTCAATGGCCCATTTCCTGGTTTGTACAAGGCATAACCCGTGACATGACCTTTTTAGAGCTTTTCCCGGTCTATATAGCCATTGAATTGTGGAAACATCAATTTTCCAACAATAGAATTTTGTTTTACATTGACAATATGGCAGTGGTACATGTCATAAACTCGACAACATCAAAGTCACAAAGGGTCATGAAAATTGTAAGAAAACTAGTTCTCACTTGTCTCAAACACAATATTTTGATTAAAGCAAAACACATACCTTCAAAATCAAATTTTATTGTGGATTCTATCTCTCGTTCACAGTGGGGCAAATTCCGACGGCTAGCACCAGCATCAGATCCATGGCCAACACCGCTTCCCAAGAATATGTGGGAAATTTAACAAGGGAGGCAAACAGACTCATACAGGGTTCACTATCAGCAAACACATACAAAGCTTACCAGGGGGCTCTCACCAACTTCAAAAAATTCCTGAATAATTGTGGGACCACATTGTATTTCCCCATTCCTGTTGATCATTTGCTTAATTTCATTGCCCACCTTTCTATTTCAGGTACAGCTTATAGAACAGCTGCACTGTACATTAGCGCATTATCATATATCCATAAATTAAGAGGCATACAAGATAACACTCAGTCATTCATTGTCAAAAAAGCCTTGCAGGGTCTCCACAAAAAGAGAGGTATCACTTTAGATTCTCGAATCCCATTAACTGTATCCATCTTGGAGCATATAGTATCAGCATTGCCGTCAGTGTGTAGATCATCTTACGAGGCAGTGTTATTTTCCACACTTTTCTCAATTGCATATCACGGCTTGCTTAGAGTAAGTGAAGTTCTGAATATCCATAGGGCACACATCACGTTTACTAGAAGCAAGGTCAGCATCTTAATTCCCAGGTCCAAAACTGACCAAATGGGAAATACAACAACATTGCATATTTCCAAACAGTTAAATTCAGATATTTGCCCAGTACAGTGGGTACTCAGGTTTTTGCCGCTGCGCCCTAATGATGGTTCCCTTTTATGCTTTATTCATGTCGACAATAAGGGTGTAACAAGATATCAATTCAACTACGTGCTTCAAAAAGCACTTCAATTCAGGAACATTCAAGGACACTTTAGACCACATAGTTTTAGAATAGGCAGGGCTACAGATCTTGCAAAACAGGGGTTTCCAGATTCAGAAATAAAATCTTTGGTCCGGTGGGAGTCAAAATCTTTCAGAAACTACATAAGATTATAACATGTTAGCATTGTTAAATGGAATACAGGCTAATTTTGCCAAAGTATTCCAGGTTTCAAGACGATTTGGATAGTGGGATCTTCAATACCTTATTGGGCTGGTGAGGAGGCAGGGAGGAGACCGGGTGGAAAGAACCTTAATCTTGGGATGGACATCACTTGGAAGGGAATTAGAGGGCTGAAATGGGAAGATCTTGACAAAGTGTTAACAGATGAACTCAAACATCAACCACACCCAGATGTACTAGTCATTCACGCAGGGTCAAATGATCTAACTACGTCTGGCAATACTGCACTTAGATTTTCACATGAAATTCAATGTAGTTTGTATCGTTATAATGTATTGCTTCCTAAAACTTTGCTCATTTGGTCAACAATGTTTCCCCGTCTTTATTGGCATGGTGCACCTCTTGGCAAGGGTGGGGCTAAGATTGATTTAAAACGGCGTAAGGTGAATAAGGCCATTAGAAAATTCATTACATCCGAAGTTAATGGGGCTTGCATTTTTCATGACAAAAATATCAATGTTCATCAAAGCAGTTTATTTAGATATGATGGAACTCATTTATCGGAAAGGGGGAATAAGGCTTACTTAAATAATATCCAGGGTGGTTTGGAATTCATTTTAGGGGGAAAGGGCAAAATTTTCCCTCCTCAGTAATGCCCTTTGTTTATCTAGTCAGATTTCAGTTGCGATGATGCGATGACCTGTAATTTCCTAGTTTAGGATTGCTATATATATAAATATTAATTTTGGTGCAAATTGTTGTGGGGAACATCATATCGATGTTGGTGGCGGGGTCAAGGGAGACATCAGCCTTGTACATGCTTAACCTGTTTGTCTCTGCCCATTTGCACCAAAGCATGAGGGAGGTATCATGGCTGTGTTTTAACATGGAAGTTAAATGCCATTGAGGAAATGTGTAGAATAAATGTAAATTGCTTGGGATCTGCAGCATTTCAGTGCTCAGACCCCCTCTACCTATCTAAAAGTAGGAGAGGCTACAGGCTGGTTGGTGTTAAAATTCTAAACCAGGTAGCAAGCCAGAGGCAGGGTGTAAAAGCTGTGCAGCTTGTGTGCCTAGCCATCATGCGTGTGTCAGGCATGGGGTTCCATGGCACTCGCATCTAAGCGAGGCCACTAGTTTGCCCGTTTGTTTATGGTATCCTAGTTGTCTCCCTTGACTCCTACAAAATTTGCGGCCATTTTCATCCAACATTGTTTGTGTTGTATTATTATGATCTTGTTTCTCAATAAATTAGTAAAGTTACAATTGGTGTTTTCAATTCTCTGAGCTGTCTGGAAGACAGTTTCAGTATAATGGTATTGAAAAGGCAGAGAAAGCAAAAGCAAAAAATATCATGGGCTGCAATATTCAATTAATGACAGACAACAGACAAATTTTGATCAGAAAAGCTCACTTGAGCCTTCAGCTCAGGTGAGCTAAAAAATGGGGTCACACATTTCACAAAGTTGGAAGAGGCAACCTTGCTCATAATGAATGTTGGATATATACCAAGGCAGATTTTAAAACATTAATTCAATTTTAGTTTATAATCATGAGAGCCCCCCCCCCCCCCCCAAACTTCGGTATCCAAGGGCCTAGCTTGAAATTCTGGTAGAAGCACCCTTGCTCATCATAACTATGTACTTAGATAATCATGGCATAATATCCAGAAGCAGAGAAGATTTCATAAAATTAATGCATTTTCACTATTATAATCGATAGAGACCCCAAATATTATAGTTTGTTCTTTAAAGTAATTGACACTATTTCTGTGTAGTCTTTTGCTATCCTTTGTGGCTAAGGGAAAAAGAAGTTAAATTTTCATAATACAAGGAAGCTTAAACACAAATTTTGTAATCCTCATGACAGAGCTCGAGAAAATTCTGAATGTAGTAATGCACTTTGTGTGCGTGTTTGTGTGTGTCCTACTGCAAAATGGAAGCATTGTAATTTGCATCAGAATCGATGTCGAATGTCTTGATATTAAGATATGGTCTTTGTGAGGGAATGCTCTGCTTTGCAATGCCCTTGTTATTTCCATAATTCACTGATTCTTCAGAAGTTACTTATATTTTCATTATTCATCTTAGTATCTCTTTTTGCAAAAGGGACATTGCCCTGCAATTAGAGAAATCTGAAATTAAATGAACCAAATATGTTTACTAGTAGATCGGTTTAAAATTTCGAAGTTATAGATAAATGAGGCAAATTTTACACCATCAGCTAAAAATATGAGAATTTATGTTCCTTAGGTCCTTCATGTTCAGCTTGTAATAAATATCTTTTAATTTTCAATAACCATCTATTTTTTTTAAAATTACAAACTTCGTTATCTCGAACCCGATGGGACTGAGAAAAATCTTCCAGATATCCGAGGATTCGAGATATTGAAGGTTAAATACTTAAAGAATGTGTGGTTGGGACTTCCAAATCAACTTCAACATACTCATGGTATTCGAGATATCGGAGTTAGAGATACCGAAGTTCAACAGTATTATTTAAGGAATGACTCTAATTCTTGGCCAAATTATTCGATTATAACCTGGTTTGGGTCAGTTTATGCTTTATAATCCGCAAAGAGGATTATAAAAAAGCGTAAACTGACCCAAACCATGTTATAATCAAATAATTTGGCCAAGAATTAGAGTCATTCCTTATAATTTAATTTTAAAATAATTAATCAAATGTGGGTGTAAAATTGTGCTGCTTTTTTTTTGAGTTCAAATTTGCCGCTCAATAATACATCCCTAGTAACGGAAGTGATGTGAAACAAGGGGAGGTAATAACTTATACACAGATTCTAGCAGCCATGATGTTTGTTTACATGAGGTAAGATCGAGCTACTGTTTGAAGTTAAAGGTACATTTATTAAATCTGGAATTTTCCATGAATCCCAAGGACTGGAAATGAGGGGATTGCATGGATACAGATGATTCAGCTGGTTGTCAAGGGGGTGTGTCCCCATACCAAACCAGGTTATTGAGAAATAATTTGTGTTCCTTTTTGGAAATCAACCAATGAGAGACTAGAATACAAACAAAATTAAATTATTATTAAACTCATACATGTTAACCTATTGTGATGAAAAATAGGGAGATTCAGACCTCAAAAGCGGTAGCATTGCACACGCGTTGTTTTACGCTTGGATTATAGATATATTTCATGTAATATACATGTATGTAGCCTTAAATGAATCCTACAATAATTAATCTTAAATGTCAACTGCAAAGAAGAAGACAGAAACACCTTAAGTTTGACATAAATTGTACAAATTCAAATATTTTTCATGCTCATCATTTTGCTTGGATTGGCTGTTTAACTTAGCATTTTGAAGAGGGATTTTTGCTGATATAGCCTAGAAGCAATAATTTTGAATGTTCATTCAGTAGTTAAACAAAACAAATGATGACATGGTTTAAACTAGATCTAAAACATGTCCCTATCTTTCGTTATATAAATCAGATTTCCCGCGATGATCGAAAACGAAAGTAGAGATGTGCCACATGGCTTGGTGAATCGAGTGATTTCTATTGAATTTATGATAAAATTGTGAGCTCCTGTGCTTTTATAGACGATGTCAAACGTTTTCATCGAATTCTTAAAAGCTGTATCTCCTTGTTCATGGCAGTGATGTTGACTAAATTTATCGTAACCAATGTAATCACTGGTAATCTTGTGCTGTTGTCGTTGTCAAATTCATGCTTGAAATCTATGTACACAGCGGTACTAAAAAAGCGTTTGTATGCTTCCGAGTCAAATCACGCGATATCCAACGAGATTTTATGAGAGTGGCTTCAAAAATGGATACCCAAGCGAACCAAAAATACTTAAGACGCAACTTTTGTAGAAAAGCGGTAGATTTCTGAATTAAATCGGTAGGCGGGAGATGGAGTGAAAAAGCGGTAGACTCCCGCCTAAATCGGTAGAGTTAACATGTATGTTAAACTCCTTAAGACTATAAACATTTCTGTCACAAATGGCATGGGTAAACATCCCTCTTAAATTGGAATGATCCCCTGCTTCTTATTTTGAGCCACTATGGATTCCTTCCAATTATTCCAATTCCAAAACACATGTATTAGAGCTCAGGTATTTTCTTTTAAATATCTGGGAGGTCCCTTATTCTCTCTGGATGAGATTTTTTCTTTGTTTTACCTACCATCAGCTGTCACGGCTTTTTGGTGAGGCCGAAGCAGTGCTGCAAATTCCTGTAAGTCACTGCTACGAATAATTCTATCTAGATACCTATTGAACAAAAAGAAACCATAGTTATCATTATTATACCTCTACTGTTATTACTCTATATCAATTTAATACCATAAAACTGCCTATTTCATTGAGAAGAGACTATTTCCCTCATCTGAGGACTACTCCCTGAAAAATCAGAGCTATTCCCTGGGACTACTCCCTCATGAATATTTATTAGAAATTTTGACCAATTAAAGTGTTCAGTGGGCGGAGTGTTCAAGGAATCTTGAGTCTGTGACATAATGTTATTAGCAATGTAACTATGACATCAAAACATTTCGACATGCGATGTCAAAATCTTTTTTTTAATTTTTTTTTTATTTTAACTTTCACATTTATATCAAACAAGTATATACAAAAGTATGTTCACAAATATATCTTCCTTCAAGTATCTATTATAGATAGCGTATACAAGTATTAAATTTACAAAAGGACATCCACATTTACAAGTTCACATTTAATTAAATACATGTGAAAGTTGTTTTAATATAGGATAGAAAAAAGATGAGAAGAAGAAAGAGAGAGAGAGGGAGAGAGAAAAGAACATTAAAAACAGAAGATCAAAAACAAAAAATATATAGGGGGCATAGTGTTGTTTTTTTTTTCTTTACATTAAGGGGGGTGTAAAGATTAAGATTCGTTTCTTGAAAAAATTCATAAATACATAAAAATTATGTATATGTAGACTTGTACAAATGAATCATATCATATCACAGATGCTCTGCCAGTTATTCCCATACTCTGTATATTTACATTGTTTCAAAAGTAAAAATTTCTCAATCAAGAATCTTTCCTCAATAATTGTTTTTAAAGTCATTATACTTAGAACAGAAGGAATTTTATATTTAGTCGAAAAAATATAATTCTTAGTTATCAGTGTCATCAAATTTTGCGCTTTATGGACATTCTTATTCTTATGTTTGCCAAATAATATTGTTGTTCTGTCAAAAATTACAGATATATTAAACTTACACAAAAACCATTCTTCAATATCACTCCAAAGCTCTTTTACTAAATTACATTCAACAAAAAGATGTTCAATTGACTCAATGTCAGTCTTACAGAAACTGCATGCTGGAGATTCTTTTATCTTAAGTTTAAAAAGATATAAATTTGTTGGAACTATTCTATGTAAAATTTGAAATTGTAGCCACTGCAGTTTAGATTCTTGGGTAATTTTAAATGGGAGTTCAAAAATTTTACTCCATTCTTGCATGGTGAATAGATATCCCTTTTCATTCCATTTTAAAATGGAAGTACTTGTTTCTTTCTTTCTATTAATAAGAATGTCATACATGTCTTTACAGCCTTTCATATTAATGTAAAACATCTTCACAGAACTAGGTAAATTTGGACCAAAATGTCAAAATCTTACTTGATTTCTAGCAAAATGAAGACAACGATAATTTTTTGAAATGTCTGTGAAAATACTTTCTAAAAATAATTTTAATGTTCTCGGACACAATGCATTAGTTATCATACAATCTTTTAAACCACATGCAATTCTGATTATGCCTCTATAGTGTTTTTTTTAATTTCGGAATACCTGGTAAAAAGATTAAAGATTTTGCCTATAATTGTTTCGGTATAATAAAACAGTTACAAATGGGAACTTAGGAAATAGCAAATTTATGGTTCCCACGGCAGGAAACTATTTCCCTCTCCCTCAGGGAACCATAAATTTGCTATTTCCCTCGTACCCATTCCATGACTGTATATAATGTAAGCTTACTGCAGGATACAGGCAAGACCTGGGGCTCACAACAATGGATATGATGAAGTGTATTGCTAGGGTACATTATACATAAATCTGGAATTATGTATATCTATTTACACCTACTCATAGACTCAGACTATATCCCAGTCCTTTACAACTAAGTTTCTGAATACAAGATGTATCAGATGACAAGGTAACTTTGTCCTACTTTTGCCAAACGATGTACTTTTCTCTCAGATGGTCTTTTGCCTCAAAGTAATATGCACAGTAAAAGCACAGTTAAAGCCAACACACTTATAATAAATCTGCTCTTTAACGAAATGATTTTCATTCTCCTTGACTTTCAAACATATTGTAAACTTACTGAATACATGTATAAGAAATTATGCTTATAAGGAAGCCGAATTGACTGTTTCTGGGACTTTGTTTGGTTTGTTATAACTGAAAAGTGTTTTACTGTTACATATTCCAGACAGCAATATATGCATAACCATAAAATAGAAAATGAGGTCACTGCAATCGTTTCTTTGGCTACAATACATACACTGGAATCTCCAAGATGTATTAACTGGCCAAATTTGATAGTCTCTGACCTCACGGTGTGAATGATATTATCCAGACAAAATTTAAAACATAACCATTAAGTTCCATAATTAGCTCGCCACCTGCTACTTTTGGGTTAAGAAAGTAACATCTTCCCCTTAAGACGCATCACTTGACAAGTGGTGGTACTATAGACCCCTCAGTCCAAAAAATACTCAGAAATATTTCTGGTATTATCTAAAGGTAAGTTTGTTGTCATCTATGGAAATGTGGTTCCTGTGATTATTTGTTTTGGTGTATGTAATTATATCTAAGGCAAATAGTGGAAATTTAGGAAATTTCATGTAATTTTCTACCTGAATTGAAATAGTATCATCTCCATGGAAAAAAGTATGTTTACAGAATCAAAAAATGGGAAGGTCAATTAGATTACCGGTACATTGCATTTTAGGGAATGGGCCGATAAGATTGGGAAAATAATTACCGGTACCTTTTAGGGAATTTGCAGATAGCCATTTACTTTAAAATCATAAAAAAAATATACTGGGTTTCTGGTCTTTGTTAACAACTACAGTTTTGTTTTGCAAATGAACATGAATAGCAAGTTATTATAAAAGTTAACTTTATTTTCTTTTAAATTTTTTGAGAAATGAAAATTGGAAAATTCAACACATTCAATTAGGAGAAAGATAGCTTTATTGAATTGGGAATAGGACCAAATTATAGACAATTCAGAGCCTTGAAGCACTTAATAAAGAGATTGTATGGTAATATAGTAAGAGGTACCCTTCCTGTCCTTGCATTTGCTCATTATTTTTTATACAACTGGCATATACACTGTACTGTAAAATCACATATTTTCATGGGGTCAGATTTTCTAGGTTTGAGGAAAAAAATTGCTTTGTGGGGATTTGATTTTGTGGTTGGAAAATGTTTAATAGTAATACATATGAAAGTTTACATTTCATTGTGGTCATAAATTCATGGGTCTTTCCATACCTCGAAAAAACAACGAAAATTAAACACCAACGAAAAACAGTGATATAACAGTATGTTACCATGTTGCATGTAGCATAAATACTTTCTGTGGTCATAGAAAGAAATACTAAACCTAACTAATTTCACTGATCTAAAAGATAAGTTGCTTATATTTGCCCTAATCATGTTTTTTTTTCTAAGAAGTGTATACTCGATTCTCGTTATATCGCGTGTTTCATTGTATCGCGGTATATTGCAAAAATTTGGATACATGGCCTATATTTATTTTATTGATGAAGAATCTGTATGTTGTCTGAATGTTTACTTTTTAGATGATTAAGAAGTATGGAACATCGGTTTGGAAAAAAAATTATTCAAATAAAACGTAAATTTTACAGATTTGCAGTCCCGTTTTTATTTTATTAGACCATTAAATCTATAACCTAGTACAAAATATAAAAAGTTCATCTTTTAAAAGTCTTAAATTAGAACAGCTGTTTATTTTTTCATGCAGAATTACATCGTAAATTCAAAAATAAAAATTGAGGTCCATATCATGTACAAGTTTCTATATCTACCCATACCGCGAAACAATGAGACTCTCCAATTTAGGAGGTAAATTAGACTTCCTGTTTTAAAAATAGACCACAAATTAAACGATGCAAGCTTGGAAAATAATTTGACACTAAAAAGTTAGGCCTGAGTTACAATTATAAATATCATTTGATATAAGTTAAAATAAAAATTTGAAATTACGCTTTTTATGCAAAAGAATTAAGTACCGCGATATAATGAGACACCAGTATATATATAAAATGATCTTACATTTTCTCCAGAATGTTATATGCAGGTAATTGAGTACAACGTTCATCTTTGAAAAGTGTTGCCAACATTCTGGATCTTTGTTGTCCTGAAATTGGAATAAATATTTGTATATTTTTCAAAGGCACAATTGAAGACATTAGAACTGATTTTTCCCCATTGGAGTATTCTAAATGATCTGGAACTTTTTATCAATAAGGGTGAGATCCTGTATGTGTACTTAAAATAGCAGGTTTCATATTTTAGCGAAATTATTACGCATGCGCCAACTGATAGGCTGCAAATAATTTGAAGCTCTGAAGATTATCAAATTTGGAGTGTTAATAGGGATTTATAACATTGGAATTTCTACCCATTTTCTTTGAAATATACAAGAATTATAGTGATGAAGTTAGTTTTTGGAATCTTCCTTGTGTTTTTGGTGAATTCGAGAAAGTGTGAAATCTATGAAAACAAAGGAGTGTGTTCCAGCTCAGTGCGTTGCGTAAACAGATACTCAAGTCCCAGTATGGAAAACACAACCGTTATTAGATATAGTACAGAGGAACTAATGAGACTTCGTTCAGTCCCAAGGCAATTCGCGCGACCTGACCGTGACGTTCTAACCAATTTAAAGAATAACGGAATTCTAAAATACCGAGGTAGACGCGCTGGACGCCGTAAAGTGTTAAAACCAAAATCGCAAAGTGGTGTCAATTTGAAGAATCTCTCTTATCCGAAAATATGTAACCCTTTAAACAATAAACGAAGTGAAAAGGTTTTTGCTGTAACTGTGAACTGTCGCTCACTAGGAAAAAAGGATGTTCTACTGGGTCAACTACTTAGGGACGATAAGGTCGACTTTGCTCTCCTAACGGAAACCTGGTTTTCTGATGAAAAGCAACATCAATTTGAAACTTGCGATTTAAACCAAAATGGTAATAAAATAAGTGTAGCAAATCGACAAAACCGGATAGGTGGCGGCATTGCTCTGACATGTCGAACAGGGATAAATGTAAATAAAATCAAATCTGGAATGAAAAAATATTTCGAATTCGGCATTTGGCGGCTGATCTTCAAAAACATTACCATACATACATTAGGAATCTACAGATCACCATCCCTGTCAACACCAACGCAATTCAATACAGACTTCTTTCCATTTTTGGAAGATGTTATGTCAAAGTATTCTAATGTTATGATCATGGGTGATTTTAATTTGCATATTAATGAAGATAATGGTGCAATATCAGACTTTAAAGACTCACTGTTCGCGATGTGCTTAGAGCAACACGTCGACTTTAGCACTCATATAGGCGGAAACAGTCTCGATTTGGTTATAACAGAGGCCGTTGGGGGAATAAATGTACTTCTATGTGAACCGGGAGAGTTTATTTCGGATCATTGTATAGTTAAAGTTACCATAGACGTCAGCAAAGAGTCTGTTAAAAGCCAAACAACTGCGCGACGAAACTTTAAAAATGTTGATAATCTGGCATTTGGGCATGATCTGATTGATATAACTATAGATTGTGACGACATTAATGACTTCGTTCAAAACTTTGAAACCGCAGTTAGCAATATTCTGGACAAGCATGCCCCAGTAAAGCAAAAAACGCGAATTCTGCGAGCACCTAAACCATGGTTTACAGACGAAATCAATAAACTAAAATGCATCTCGCGCAAAGCAGAAAGAACCTGGAAAAAGTACAAACAACCACAGCAGTACGAGGCAATGAAAGTAGCGCGCAACAAGTATAATTACGAGTTAAATAGAGAGAAAAAACGCGTCTTGAATGAAAAGGTTTTAAATTTTAAAGGAGATTCGAAAAAGCTGTATAAATTTGTTTCACAACTATCTGGTACTAGGACTGAAACCCCAATGCCCAACGCAAAAAGCGACAAAGATTTAGCAGAAAAATTCGCCGACTTTTTCATGGACAAAATAGACAAAATTAGAAAATCATTGAAAACGTTCGAAAATTTTGAACCAAAACATAAAAACGTACCCTTACTTAGCGAATTTCAGGAACTTTCCCAAGCTGAAGTAACAAATTTGATCATGGAATTACAAACCAAATCTTGTGAATTGGACATTCTACCTACCAATATTCTAAAATCTTTTCTAAACGAACTTTTACCAAACATTACAAAAATTGTAAACCTTTCATTGAAGCATGGTGTATTTCCCTCAACTTGGAAGCAGGCGATTGTAAGACCCCTGTTAAAGAAAGTAGGATTGGAACTCGAGTTGTCAAATTACAGACCTGTTAGCAACCTGTCGTTTCTCTCTAAACTCATCGAAAAATCAGCCCTTTATAGACTCAATGTGCACGTGGAAAAATATGATCTACTCCCCAAAAATCAGTCTGCATACAGACGTTTTCATTCATGCGAAACAGCTCTATTACGACTTGTAAATGACCTTCTTGACGCGATGGAAAAACAAGAAGTTACTGCTTTAATTGCAATAGATCTAAGTGCTGCATTTGACACGGTAGATCACGAAATTTTGCTGAATGTACTTCAAAAACAGTATGGAATATGTGGTTCGGCATTAAAGTGGATAGATTCTTATCTGCGGCCTCGTGGCTGCACGGTGTGCGTTAACTCCGTGACATCATCGGTACGTCAACTGCAATGCAGCGTTCCTCAGGGCAGCTGCCTGGGACCCTGGCTTTATTTAACATACGCAGGGACCTTATTTGATGTCATTCCTTCAACCATATCGGTGTATGGCTTTGCAGACGACCATACCGCAAATAAACGGTTTAACCCAACGTCAAAACGCAATGAAATTAACGCCATTCGCGAGCTAGAGGAATGTGCTATCGATATTAACAATTGGATGAATGCAAACAAGCTTAAAATGAATTCATCAAAAACAGAATTCATCCTCTTTGGAAGCAAACGGCAACTAGAAAAATGTACAACAAAATCTATAAACATTAACGAAAATGAGATCGAATCTGTTAAATGTATACGATATTTAGGTGCTTTTCTGGACGAGAACTGAAATTTTAAAGATCATGTCAACAAAAAATGCCGCACAGCTATGTTTAATTACCAAAAAATCAAATGTATTCGAAAATATTTAACGACCGAAGCAACAGAAGTCTTAGTTTTATCTTTAGTTATATCCCATTTGGGCTATTGCAATGTGATTCTGTATGGTATATCGCAAGGAGAAATCATCAAAATGCAAAGAATTCAAAATATGTGCGCAAAACTAGTTTTAAACCGCAAAAAATATGACAGTTCTAAGAAAGCCCTTTCTGATCTTCATTGGCTACCAATCAAATGCAGAATATCTTTTAAAATTCTAACATTCATGTACAATTGTTCTGTTGGCGAAGCACCGGAGTATTTAAAAGAACTGTTAACGAAAAAAACATCAAATGTCAATTTACGCTCTTCAAGAAATTCTGAAAGTCATTATAATGTTCCATTTAATAAGAGAAAAACCTTTAGTGACAGAAGTTTTAGTACCATCGGCCCCAAACTGTGGAATGAACTGCCAACCAGTATTCAAAACTCAGGATCAATTGACATTTTCAAAAACAAATTAAAAAATTACTTTTTCAGAGACTTCAATTCCTTGTTTTAATTCTTCGTATGTATGTAGTATTATGTGTAAAAAAAAGGACTTTATGAATATGTATAATTTATGTATATATGTAAATATCTTTTATTTTCTTAATGTACAACGCCATTGAATACGTTTTATGTAAAAATAGGCGTTTAATTAAATAAACAAGTTTCAAGACATTGGTGCAGATGAGGATCAATGCGCTGATTCATGAATACTACTAACTAAGATATCATTTATTAATAGAATAAAAGGCACGAACATGTGTAGCACTAATTTATAATTACACCAACAACTCCATGTCTATTGATTCCGCTAAATTTTGAATATGCCAAATTATGTACATGTACAGTATGCAGAGTACCCCTTGTAATATGGAATGCAGTTTGTCCTTCATCCTCATTATATAAACCCAAATTTACCCCATAGCTGACAAGTGACAAATTCTATATATTCTTGACAAATTTTAAATAAATATCCAAAATATAATTTGCAACTGTGCACAGCCAAATGTTTATAATTTACTAAGAATCACACAACATGTACATGTAATCATCTTTTCCCCCATTCTTCACTTATCTTGAGATTTAAAGCTCCAACATATTTTCATCAAACTCATGTATTAATACAAGAGCAATTCAAATGACTCAAAAGTCTTTGACCTCTCCTATAAGCTTGAATTCCAGTTTTCGTGAAATGAATATATTTCGTTTTTCAATAAAGATGTATGTAACTATACAAACCTCAAAAACAAATGTTGATGAAAGCTATTCATGCAGTGTTCATTATTCTCTGACCTTGTCTGCGACATTAACTCACTATTATACAATACAAGAAACAGCTTTTTAAAAAGCTTGCCTGACTATATCAATCAATTTATCTGCATTAAGAGTGATAACCCTTTTGAGCAATACTTTGTGGGTTTAAAAAGTATCCTAACTTTATATTTTGAGAACCTTATGTAATTGAAATCTTGATTTTACTGAACTTCTGGAAATATCATCTCTACACTGCATACTAAAAACTTTGTAGTTGAAGAGGGGGGGGGTCTGAAAGTGGAGTGATCTGCCCTTGGATCTAAATTGATTTCAAGGTACATTGTAACACCTATTATAAAATCTGTTATCAAATCACGCATTTTGAACATTTTAAAAGATGGATATAATCAAAAACACATTTTGTTGGAGTGTATTTTCTCCTTTGAAGTAAACAGTAGTAATGTGTGTTCGTTGTTTTTTCCTTAAAAGGGGTGGGGGATGACACTTTCATATAATACATGATATATTAAGAATGAAATAAGTAAATTCAATAGTTAGGCTTTGTAGAAAGAAATATCCAAGATTATTCACTACTTTCTTATTTATTGTGTGCATCTGAACAAAGACATAATAGATCATGCATCTGGAGACGATGGCTTGAACTGCGTTGTTTGTTATTATTGGACTCGTCCATTTATGGAATAAACCAACCGCGGGATCGGTAAACAAATTAGAAACATGATTTCTTAATTTAGTGTTACATGTCCATATACCATGTATACTGATGTATATGACATGTTGTTTTAAAGAATGGTATAAAACTTGTAGATAGAATTTCTGAAGCATTAAAAGGACAAAGTTAACTTTATTTAATTCCATGGAAGTTAGCACACCCATTCATACAATAGAACAATCCAAGGTAGCTTACTAGTGACATTTGGCGCGAAAAGAGCGATTCACCCCTTTCGTAGAATATAAATGGACTGATCCAGTAGTTAGAAATGCAGAAAAAAGGATACACGGACATGTTGAAACGGCAAATCATATGGAATAATCTGTTCCATGCAAAAAGATTAAAGGAAGTAAACACTGCAGTATTTCGCATCAGTAATATGTTTCTTTTTTCTGAAAACTGTTTCTTTTAAAATGCAGGTAAAGAATTCCAATGTAAATCAGCTTTCACAAAATCTAGCTCTTTAGATATGGTCGCATATTTTCGGATCTTGGAAATATCAATCCTTATACTGCCTGACGCCGTGACGTCAGGCAATTAGTTTGAAAGAAACAGTTTAAGATAATTCTTATTGTATCCCCAACCTACTGTGGCCACACCCTCTCCCCAAGGACCATAATCTAAACAATTTACAGTCTACACTATCCAGTTAGCTGTCACAAAAAATTCAGCTTTTCTGGTTTCAACAGATTTTTGGACTTATTTCAGAAACATTCCCACCCAAATATCACTCCTTATTGTTTCTGTATAAAGTTTTTCTTTCTTGGTGTATAAGGGCCCAGTACTGCCACCCCTACTATTGTTATTGTGATTTAAATTCAAGACACATGGATTAGGTTGACCTATTCAAAGGTTATAGGGTAGTACCAGTTTTATAAATAAAATTGGCAGTAAACAGGAAATTGTTTTGAAAACATGTCCTATGAAAAATGTGTTTTCAGACCTTTCTGAAAGACTCTCATAATTTTCAACAGAAAAGGGTGGCTAAAGGGGGGTGGGGTGGGGTGTCAAAATAACAGTATATCTTATCATAATTTACAGGGAAAATTAGAGCTCACTAGTGACCGATACGCTGGTTTAAAAAAATGTAAAATAAAACTGTAAGATTTAAAATACACAATTAATATTCATATTTTTTAACACAAACAAGATTTATCTACCTGCCGAGGCTAGAACTGTACAGATGAGGGCATTCTTCAGGGCCTGCATTCTCTCCTCTTCTGCTACTATAGTTTTGTAAGAAAGTTCATTGTATCTTTGTGCAGCCTCAATAAATTTTCTTCTGTAGTCTAGAACCCGTGCATAGCATGCCTAAAAAGAAACAAGCACTTGAATATATGTTAATCTACAAAGATTGATTTATAAATAGTGCTAACAATATTTACAGTACATGTACTATTAGAGGCTCATCAATCCAAACAGATATTCTAGATGCTTATAAGCAAAGGGCATAACTCTCATCTTATTACAATTTTGTACTCTGTTTGCCTCCAATCTTATTAGAATTAGATGTTCCATTCACTCACAGATTTTTGATATGTCGTGAGGTGACATATAAGAAATTAAGGAGCAATTAGAGAGCGAATGAAAGATCTCAATTTGATTTGATCCAGTACAGAGAAGATTTTCAAAGAAGTAATGCATTTTCACTATATCATCACTAGGGCCCATTCCAAACACCAGAACCCCTGACCCAGGGGCCATTAAACTCACAATTTTAGAAGCGGCACTTTTGCTCATCATGAGGGGATTTTCAAACAATTTATGCACTTTCCCTATGATATAATCAACAAAGCCCTGCTCTGACAACAGAACCCCTGACTCAGGGGCCAGGATATTCACAATTTCAATAGAAGTATCCTTGTGCATCATAACTGAGTATCTAGTTTCCTTGCTGAATAACCAGGAGCAGAGGACAGTTTGACTGCTTGATGTCCAAGAGAAAAGAAGATTTTTAAAGATTGCATTACAGGGTAATTTTGATGGTTTTAGCCCCATCCCCAGTGGGACAGGGACCATAAAATTTACAATTTTTGTTCCCCATTACATGTACATGCTATATATCAAAATTGGTTTAAATTGGTTCTCCCCTTTCAGAGAAGAAGCTGAAAATGTACGCGGCACATGTCACAAGTGGATTGATGCATGATGATGGATCAAGAGACAGGCAATAAGTTTCCTGAGTAACTCATCATGATGTCCATCACCAAAATCAAATCCAAATGACATCTATTGCTCATAAACTCCTTTCAGTACAATCTGTGCAGTTGTAAGATTACCTTGTAGTGTATCTGAAGCTCCTCGTTTTTAGAGTCGGCTTGTAATAGAGATGCTCTGTTGATGTAGGCTTCTGCCTGTACTGGATCCTCCTCCAAATACAGACGAGCAATCTTTAGATAGGTCTCTAGTTTGTAGTCTGTCGGATACTGCCTGAAATACAAAGGAATTACTGTGAAATCACTAATTTTCATGCGGGTGGGTGGGCAATTTTCATGGTTTCAAGATATGGGGAGACCCAAGAATCTAATTCCACCATGAAATGTAAGTTTTCATGGATATAACTGCTCAACAATCCTTCACCCAAAAAATTAAATCCCAACAAACCCATATTTTTTCCACATGTCACAAAAATCTGACCCCAAGAAAATGTACAGTTAACCTATAGTCACAGAAAAATGGATGGCTGACTTATATCAACAGAAAAATGGACCATCAACCTACACCCCCTGAAATGGGGGTTCAGAAATGTGGTTATTCAGGATTTTTTAATAAACTTAAAGATATTAGCTTTTTTTTAATTCAAAAGAATAAATGTTATTTAACAGATTAAAAGTCTTGTTTTATTTTAAAGAACCATTTGCGAGTTATAACATGAATGCTTGAACTCTTTACAAATTCTGCGATAACATCTGGAGTCCTAGCTGCAATAATGTAGCCCTCTCCGATTTTTATTACCAGTATCTGATATTTTTCTGGAGCTCCCCCCTCCCCCCAAAAAATCGGAGAGGGCTACATTATTGCAGTTACTGGAGTCCAGGTTCAGAACAGTGTTGAAGATCATATTGGTGATTGACATAGCTCTACTTAGCTGCTACAATCTTCAACAGTATGCCTTAGCATAACATGCATCAAATTCATACAGCGCATTCAGTATGACCTGGATATCTTAATTGTCTAGCAGCTACCGGTATATGCTAGCTGCTACTTAAAACCAATTTGGATCAGTTGTTATTAGACACGAAAACTTTAAGGAACGGTTCATGGCGTGAAATATTCCCGATGACGAGGCTCTCGATGACTTCAGGAAAATTTCCGGCACATGAATAAAAGTTGGTTTACAGTATGTTTTACGCTATGATCGAAGGCTTAATCATCTTGAATACATCCCTAGCATCATGTCATCAATTCCATTCATTTAATAATTTGACAGATGAAGATTTGAACAAATTTAAATCTACACTACCTGAGGATGCTTCCAGATCAATATGACTAAACATAGCTTTCCTATTCTTGAGAAGATTTGTACAGATTTTTTCCTATATATTCCTTTTTTTAAATGTTGAACCACATTCTCACCCCACTTACCCTGATGGTAGTGATTTAAGCAAAATGACTTTACATTTATTGGGGTTGCCTCCATATTATGGCTTTGCTGTTTGTTTAAAGATTTTTTTCCCTATTCATTCTTATGTTACAGTAAAACTTTGATCCCCCATTGTGGCCCTATCCTACACCTAAGGGATCATGATTAGAACAGATTTAAATCTACAATATTTAAAGGTGGTTTTATTCATATACGATTCAACTTTTTGGTCAATTGGTTTTTGAAAAGAAGATTTTTAAAAGATATATATATATATACATTCAAATTTTCTTATTTCAGAATAATTTTCCCTTTCTTTGAACAAAATTGAATTGAATCCCCTTTGCCCTAAGATGCTTTGTGGCAAGTTTGGTTGAAATTGGTTAAGCAGTTTTGGAGAAGAAGTAATAAATGTGGAAAATTAGAGAAAGACATGACTACAGACAAAATGTGATCAGAAAAGCTCATTTGAAATTTCAGCTAGGTGAACTAAAAACAGAAAGGATAGTTAAATTAATCTAATGAAATCTTGACAAATATCTGAACATCACTTAACAATAATCAATTTAACACATTGTATCTGGTAACATATACAGGTGTATATGTTCTACTTTTCACAAAGCAAATTAAATTGACCTAGAAAACTGAACAAGGTCAAAGAAGGCATCACCTAGGCCATAGGAAAGTGAAAACTGTACTCGATAAATTATCCTTTAGAATAAAATAAAACACATAAGGAAGGTTCGGTGACATTGGAAAATCTCTCACAGGTGTTAGAATTACTCAAATTTATCAATAATTCTATTCATCTTTATTCAAAAAGAACATATGGTCACAAACTAGGCCGAATTTTGCTATCATATCTAAAAATACTTGGATAATGTAGTCTTCTTCAAAATTATTAACAGTACGAACTATAAACACTACCGGTATATAAGGTGTCATTTTCCTTCACTCTTGTTTGAAAATAACCAGAATGATTGTATATTTAATATGCAGTGTAATTCAATGTAGAAAAAGGCACTTCAGACCATAGTTTGTCATGTAATCCTTATAAAAAAAGCATGTGACGGAGATAAAGGTTAAGATATCCAATGATTCAAAATGTCAGGGGTAAAATACATATTAAATAATTATTGGTAGGGACTTCCAAAACAATTTGACTTATCCATGGTATTCAACTGTAACTCTGGTTCTATTAGTGGTGACTTTGAATGAAAATCATCTCGATCAATCAGGATACAACATTTTGACTACCATGTTGATTACCGACTTTGACTTTTATCTTTTAAAAAAATAAAATTGCTTCCACTTTGTCTCTCTTATTTGCAAGGAAACAATCAACCAGTTTACTGGTAAAGAGATACATAAATTCTGCTATAGTATGGTATGCTTGCTGTGGGTATGGTTACGGGTATGGAGGCTTGTTGTGACAAGTGGGAACAAGAGGCCCATGAGGACCATTGGCCACAATGCTCACCTGAGTATAACTTTGGCTATGTGTTCCTAATCAGATTTTCCCCCTTGTAATACCAATTGTGACCCTATCATACCACCAGGGAGACATGATTTGGACAATTTAGAATCTAAACAACCCCAAGATGCTTCCACATAAGTTTCAGCTTTCTGGCTCAGTGGTTCTTGTGAAGAAGATTTTAGTAGATTTTTTTTTAAATCATTCAATGCAAAACTAGGATTCCCTAATGTGGTCCTACCCTAAGGGTCATGATTTTAACAATTCAGAATCTGTAATACCCTACAATACTTCCAGATAAGTTTCAGCTTTTCTGGCTCAGTGGTTCTTAAGATTTTAAAAGATTTTTTCTGTATATTTCTCTGTAAAACTTTGATTCCCTATTGTTGTCCCATCCTACCCTTGTGGATCATGATTTGACTAATTAGAATCTTCACTACCCCAGGATGCTTCCACATAACTTTCAGCTTTTCTAGCCAAGTGGTTCTTGAGAAGGAAATTTTTTCAACATTTTCCCTATATATTTCAATGTAAAATTTAGATTCCCTAATGTGGTCCTGCTCTAACCCTGGGGTCATGTTTACAGTGAAGTCTTTTTCCTTAAGTTTTGAGGCTTTGAGATGTAAAAATTCATTCATCTATGTGCTGCTTGCAACCCCCCCCCCCCCCCCTCAATTCATGCATACTTTTTGTTGCTGAAAGGTCGAACTCAGACTCATTCCAGCAATTTATAAGAAAACTAGAAATATGTCCATAGGACATGAATGCCCCACCGAGGTTATATCAGTAATGCAACATGAAAATTCAAATGTACGTATGAAATTTCAGAATATCTTGAATAGTGATGCAGTTGAATTGCTTACATCAGTATGTATCAGCATATGAAGTTTAACACTAATTTAAGGTTAAAGGTAAGGTCAAGGTAAAAAAATGTTGATGCAGTTGAAAAGCTCTCATCAGTATGTATCAGTATATGAAGTTGAAAAAATATGAATGGTTTCTTTAAAACTGACTTAATCACAATTTGATAAAAGTGAGGTCAAGGTCATATGAAAGGTCAAGGTCAAAAATGTTCATGCAGTTGAATTGCTTACATCAGTATGTATCAGTATATGAAGTTTGCTAATTTATGAAAAGTGAGGTCAAGGTGAAAGGAAAGGTCAAGGTCAAATGTTGATGCAGTTGAATAGCTCTCATCAGTATGCATCAACATATGAAGTTGGATAAAAAATATCTTAAATGGTATCTTTAAAACTGAGCTAATCACTCATTTAAGAAAAGTGAGGTCAAAGGTCAAAGAAAGGTCAGGTCAAAAATGTTGATGCAGTTCAATAGCTCTCATCAGTATGTATCAGCAAATGAAGTTTGATAGAACTATCTTGAATGGTATCTTTAAAATTCAGCTAAACACTCATTTAAGAAAAGTGATGTCAAAGTCAAAGGAAAGGTCAAGGTCAAATGTTGATGCAGTTGAATAGCTCTCATCAGTATGTATCAGCATATGAAGTTTGATAACATTACCTTGAATGGTATCTTTAAAACTGAGCTAAGCACTAATTTAAGAAAAGTGAGGTCAAGGTCAAAGGAAAGGTCAACGTCAAAAAAAATGTTGATGCAGTTGCATAGCTCTCATCAATATCTATCACCTTCTGAAGTTTGATGAAAATATCTTGGATAGTTTCTTTGAAACTGAGCTTTGAACTGAGCTAAACGCAAAGTGTGACAAGGACAGCTATACAGAAGGACAGCTAGACGGAAGGATGGAAGACGAACATGACAAACACTGTATGCTCTGCCATATTCATGGCGGGGCATAAAAATTAGAGAACTCTACCCCCCCCCCCCAAATAGAATTTTCAAACAAGAGGCCCATGGGCCACATCGCTCACCTGAGTAACTTGGGTGATGCAGTTATTTACCAGATTCCCCCTCTTGCTGTGTATCATGCCCCACTACCCCCTTCCCTTTTATGATTTTAAAACTTTAGAATCTACACTACCCCAGGATGCTTCCATATAAGTTTCCTTTCCTGGCCCAGTGCTTCCATATAAGATTTTTAAAGATTTGTTTTATATATTTCTATGTAAAACTTCCTTCCCTATTGGCCCAGTGGTTTTAACAATTTAATATCTACACTACCCAAGGATGCTTCCACATAAGACTGGCTCAGTGGTTCTTCAAAGAAGATTTGATTTTATATATTTCTATGTAAAACTTGGATTCCCTATTGTGGCCCCACCCTACTCCCAGGGGTCATGATTTTAACAATTTTATATGTACACTACCCAAGGATGCTTTCACATAAGTTTCAGATTTACTGGCCCACTTGTTCTTGAGAAGAAGATTTTTAAAGATTTGTTCTATATATTTCTA